GCGGGTGGGAGCCGGGACCGGGGGGGCGGGGGGGGAACTGAGACCTTCGGGGAGGAGCCGGGGCCGGGCGGGGGGCGGAAACTGAGGCCTGCGGGGGAGAGCCGGGGCGGAGGGGAAACTGAGGCCTGCGGGGGAGAATCGAGGCTGCTGTCTCCCCGGGGCGTCGGGGTGAGGGAGCCCCTCCCAGCGGGCAGAGACCCTCGGGATCAGCCCAGTCACTGAGACCCAGAGAGGAGGAACTTGCCCTCCCAGATACCCGTGGCAGGGGGGAGGTGTGTGGGAAGGGGTCTTCCAGGACTCACTAGACTATCTGAGCTGGGAGAGACCCCAGTTTGCTGCTCGTCCGTCCTCGGGTAGGGGGCCCACCTGGAGCATGTGGGAAGGGGCGGGGCCGACTCTGTATATTGTCTCAGCCGGAAGGGGGGAGGGACCCTCCTGAGCTTCGAATCCAGCCCCCCTGTTTATAGACCCGGAGAGAAGGGTCTTGTGCACCAAGGGGAAGGGGCAAGTGCTGGCCAACTGTCGGAGATTCGAGGGACTTTAGAGACTACGTTGTCCAGCCCACTTGTGGACACTGAGCCCCAGAGAGAAGGGACGTCTCTCCCTCCCACCCCCCACGAATCAGGGGTGAGGCGTGTGAAGAGGGGCGAGTCAGGGTCTTCACGGACTCAGTAGACAGACTGTCAGGGTTAGTCCAGGGTTCTGGCAAGTCCAACCCCTTTATTTTACAGAGGAGGAAGGAAATTGAGGCCTAGAGAAGGGGATTGGCTACAAAGGTGTGTGGGGTTGGGAGTGTGGGATGTGAGATACAGGGCAGGGTGTAGACTTGGTGGAACCCCATTTGAGTTTGGGGCTGTCTTAGTGGTCCCTTCCTTGTAGAGATGGCGATGGGTGCTGAGAAGGACTGTACATTGTTGGATAGAATTGGAAAGAACCATAGAGATCAGATATCTAAGGATTCCCCTCGCTTTGCAGAGGAGGACCCTGAGGTCTGGAGTCTGAAAAAGACACCCTGTGGCCCCTCCCACCCCTTGTGTGTGTTTGGTAAGGGTTTGGGTAGACACCCAATGTCAGACTGGAGAGCTTCTTAGAATTCTGTGAAATAAGCTGCTTTGGCTGTTCTGATTAATTTTAAGTTAAATAGAATCTTTTTATAATTGTTTGTGGAGTTGAATAATAAGTGCTTGTGGAATTTGAGCAGGAAAATGACTGTCTCAGGTTCCTCAGGTGGTGGCAGGGCCAGGATTGGAACCCAGGTCTTCTGGTTCTGAACCCTGTGCAGCTCCACCCTGTGCTCCCGTGGGTGTTGGCCCTGGGGAGGTCCTCCCTCTCTTTATTCCCTTTGGTGTTGGTGGCCCTGAGAGACCCTCGATGCCCTCCCTTCCCCCACCCTAGATACCTCATAGACTCATGGAATGTTAGAGGGGAAGGACCCTAAAGGTCATCAGGTCTGAGCCCCTCATTGTACAGATGAGGAAGTGAGGCCTAGACAGGGAAAGAGACTTGCCCCGATTCAGTAGTTTATTAAGAGATTCATGAGAGATTTATTATGGCAAAGGCGTGATTCAAACCCTGATCATCCCTAAGCTTTCTCAGTATACCTCCCTGAGGGTGTTGTCCCTAGGCAACCTGCACTCTCTTAAACATATTCAGAGGATGATGGAAGGGACTGAGAAGCCCTTTGGTGCTTGTCTCCCCCCTTCCCTCCCATCCCCCACTGTTGTTAGAGCTGGGAGGGAGGGACCACCGAGATCATGCGTATAATCTCATAAGCAGACCTTCTTAGGTCTCCATTCAGTTCAGCAGACATTTAGGTGCCCACTGTGTGTGTATAAGGGACCCAAAAATGACAAAAGATAGAGAGATTTAGAGTAGGGAGGGACCTGAGAGGAGGAAATGAAAGCCTGGAGAGGGCAGGCAGGTTGCTGGCTAAGAGCTTGCAGCAGATCAGGTGTAGAGCCAGGGCCTCTCCCTGCACGCTCCAGCCTCCTCACCACTCTCACGTCAGTGTTGGGGAATCTGTCTTCCTCTCCGCCTTGAGTGTGGTAAAGAGATTGAAGGTTCCCTGGGAGAAACACCCATCTGTTGGGTGGGGAGAGGGAGAGGAGAGATGAGACTGCATATTGCCTTGAATTCAGCAAATAGGTGCTTTAATAAATCTGTTCAGTTGCAATTGTCTCAGAATGGAAGCGCTGAATTTGAACCCTAGCCCTGTCATTGAGTAGCTGTGAGATGTTGGACTAGTAGTCCGTTCCTCTCTCTGAGCATCTGTACAACAGGGGGCTGTACAAGATGATCTCTTTAAGCCCCTTCTAGCTCTTGATAATTTGTGATTTGTTGAGGAGAGGAGGCTTAGGGGTAGAGCCTTTGAAACACAGGCTTTTTCTGGAGAAGAAAGATTCTCTGAATGGGAAAAGGTAAAAGTGAATGACTTTTGCTTGTCCTCACTTATTACAACTGGTTATCTGGTCAAAGGACGATGTTTTGTCCAACCCTGGAGCTCTCCTGATTTTGCTGGCAGAGTGGTGCTTAGTGGGAATCTTGGTAGAAGCTTGTAGGTGGCTCACAGCGTTTGGAGAGGAGGAGTGACTGCTTTTGGGGCCTTACCGCAATGGGGCATTTTCTTGACCTGGTAGTAAGTGAGTGGCAAAGTTATTTTAGAGAGAGTGAAAATGGTGGATCAGTAACTCCAGGAACGCTGCGGAACATCATGCAAGCTGCTCAGTAAAGGATTACAATGTATTTGTAAAGATAGAAATTGGGGCATTTTATGTATCACATCTTGGAAAAGAAACTGCAAGGACAATGCTCTTCTGAACTTTGTGCGCTGCAAACTTTCTCTAACAGTGTAGGGCTCCCCCTCTCTCTTCTTGTGGCAGTGTCTTTGTTCTCTTTCATGGAGAACCCAGGGTGGAAGAGTTTCACTGCCAGTGTTTCATATGGGGACGTTCTAGTATCTTGGTCATTTTACCAAGTTAGCCTCATTCACTAAGCCTTACTAAAAAAGAAGTATGGAAAGCATTCCTTCCTCATTCGCATTTAGTGCAGTTGTGATGTTATAGGGCTCTGGGGATAGACTAGCGTGTCCTTCCCATTGCAAGTTACTGTAGGTATAATCTGTGATTCTGTGTTAATTGGACAGGTGACAAAATTTCATTTGTGTTTTTGTATGGGAAGCTGGGAGGAATGTTGGTTGTTGGTTTATGAAGCAGGCCAGAAAGCCCATCATCCTGAGTGGATGTTCCCTATACCTTGATGTGATAGCACACTTGTCGTGTTTTCCTCTTTTTGGAATAAACATGGTGACATAAGTGAATGCTTGACTTTCCAAACAGATCGATTGGAGGGTAATTCGTTATTACAAAGGATTCTTCCTTTGATGAAAGGTTCGCTTTGCAGAACATAAGAGTTTACTGATTATTTTGTATTTGACCAACCATGGTGGAGATGGGTTGGTGTTGGGTGGGGGAGAGAGGAAGTGGCAAATCATTATAGAAATTTAAAGCTGATGTTTTAGGAGCCACAGCCTTCCTGAAAGTCAGTTATAAATTAAGATGAATTATCTCTGAAATTAGTGCCAGTGGGAAAATGGTTTGATCTCCATCAATTCAAGTTACACACAGATTTTTTCCAAGAGCACATTGGCGACTTAAAGTTGAAGGCCCCTGTATTCAGGGTTGCCTTGACTTGGGATGCCCCATGTGTGTTTATGAAGGCTGGCAGCTTTTAGGAGGAGGGGGAGATAGTGATTGTCCCTCATGCAGAAGTGCCTCTGGAGAGAATCCTAGAGGTAAGGCCCTAGCATAAAACAGAGGAAGCAAGTCCTGCCCTGAAGGCTTTTAGCTTCCACTAGAAAGCCAGCTAGGGTTTTGAGGGGTGGAGATGAGGCTGGGGAGGTGCAATGTGGAGATAGAAATTGGAATCCATAGGTATTCCTTCTCTAATCCTGATGCCACAGCTTGGCTCTATATTTGCCTGTGGATTTTTGATCAACATTGTCCCAGTTTGCTCTGGAAATGGACTATACATTGCAAGTATGATGTGGAAACAACCTACCTTCACTGGTGCAATTCACTCAGTGTTGAAATAAATGGAGTTTCACAAAGGGAACTTGATAGTGGGTGCTCACCAAACTCAGTGGGTCAGAGGATTTGCACAATAAAGGTAGTCAGTTGTTTACTAAAAACAACGGAATTCAGTAATCTTACCTAGATGAATGTGTACCTTTGCTGACCTAGTCTGTCTTCTGGCCTTGGGTCCTGATTGAGAAGCCATCTTAATGGTTGATTAATAAAGATAGAAAAATGCCATGAATTTTATGCCATATATGTGTGTGTATATATATATTTTCATTTTTTCTTTTACCTCTAGAAAAATAGCAAGCCAGTAGTACTATAGTCAATGCTAGTGACTAGTAATAAAGGACACATTCCTTCTCTCCATTAACATTTGATAACAACTGTTTTCAGAGAGTGTGCTTTGGAGGAGGGGGTTTGGGTGTTTCTTAAGACTCTGTGTCAAAACAAAATCTATCACTAATTAAGTTTAAACTAATTAGAAAAGGAATAAATAATCCATTTCTTTGAAAGGGGAGTGATAAAAGCATGAAACCTTTGAAAGATTATTTAATGGTAATGTGATCTGGTAGGCCGTGCAAAGATGGTTGTCATTGTAGGCAGTGGTATCGTGAGGCAGAACAGGGTGCCCCCTGTAAAATCTATTTGAATTGTCTGTGCTCTCCAGGATCACAGTCACATTACGGGTTTAGGGCCGCAAAGAACCTTGGCTCTCCTGCAGCCCAG